GGACTTAGAGGAGTCTGAGAATTCTAAATCCTTTCAGGTCATTATGAAGGTACATGTGTTGTGGAAGGAGATAAATCATTCAATAAAACATGCTGATTTAAACATTTCAAGTATATAGCTAGATGGTATGTGGATCCCCAACTGAACTCTTTTTCTGACCCCTGCAAATGTTACAAACGTTACAGGAAGTCCAGGTTCAATACCTGGTCTATCACCCCTTTCCCCTCTTTGCCCCACGTTACACTTTGTTACCTGTGCATAGTGGGGCCCCTTGCTTCTGAAAGTACTTGTTCTAATAGCCCACCTTGCTGGAAGACTTGGATCTAGTCCCTAGCCCAGGCTGGAGTACAACCACCAACCACCTCACCCACCCCCTCCTCACCCCCCAACTGCAGTACCCTCCCCTCCCACTGACCCCTTTCTTTGCTCTCCAAGTGTTTATACACAACACTTCTCTTCAATACCGCTTCTTCCCCATACAAATACCCACCTGCAGGCCGTCAGCTCGGTCAGGTGCACCTGTGTGTAGGCCCTTTGTCTTCTGCACAATCTCTTTTTTATTAATTATCTTTTTTATTATTATGTTCGGTTAGCCAGCATATAGTACTTCACTAGTTTTTGATGTAGTGTTCAGTGATTCATTAGTTGCGTGTGACACCCAGTGCTCATCACCACACGTGCCCTCCTTAATACCCATCCCCCGGTTACCCCATCCCCCCACCCCCTCCCCTCTGAAACCCTCAGTTTGGTTCCCCGAGTCCAGAGTCTCTCATGGTTTGTCTCCCTCTCTGATTTCTTCCCCTTCAGTTTTCCCTCCCTTCCCCTGTGGTCCTCCGCACTATTCTTTATGTTCCACGTATGAGTGAAACCATATGATAACTGTCTTTCTCGGCTTGACTTATTTCACTCAGCATAATCCCCCCAAGTTCCAACCATGTCGATGCAAATGGTGGGTATTCATCTCTTAACGTCTTGCTTCTCTGACAACCCTCAGGTCTGAGTTATCAATATCTTATTAGACTTCCCTCCCCATGTGACAAAGACAGACTGCAGAACAAGCTTTATTGAATTTATTTGCGTTGCATACATATAGTAAAAATCGAGAATGCTAAAAGAAGCTGAAAACTTGTCAGAATGCGCATCTAGGCATTAAAAAAACTTAACCTCTTTACTTAAAAACAGAGTTTTGTTAACTATGGAAAAGAAATGATTAATGGAGAGCTCTCAGAATGAGAAAAAACTAATAGTGGTCCACCCTAAAGAAAGGGGGTAGGGACTAATTACCAGGGTCACCTGGGTCAAGGGCATCTACCTAAATAAACTGTTCACTATGGAAGTACAAAGGAAATCAAACTCAATCAATCAAGAACCTAGCATTATCAGAATGGTAAAAAATACAGTATCAGGAAAAATAGATGTTTTATAAAGAAAATGCAAAATCCAGCGTATGATTGTAGAATGTCACGTTATACCATCATCATCAAAACCAAGCACCAAGGACTTAAATTAGCTCTGGCACCTTACTGCCTCTATGAATTCTTTTTTGCATGAGGCAGCACCCCACTCAGAATGTAAAGGCACGGTTAGATGTTGAGGCTTACATTTCTGTGTTAACAAAGCAGCTCCGTGGTGACAGAGGCAGACACAGTGAGAGGGATAGTGAGGAGATACTTCTGGGTCTCCTAAGAAAATGAGCTAGGTACTGGCTTGACATCCAAGGGGAGCTCTCCCCTAGTGTTTGGTGTGTTTGGGAGATGGCACAGAAAGAAAGGACTTGGGGGAGTGGCTCACTGGGGACCGGGTGTGCGGGGAGCTATCCAGTCTAGTCACTTTTGAGGTGTGTGCCTCCAGGAATGAGGGCAGGGAGAAGTTGCGCTGATTTGATCGCCTAAGGCTTCCGGTTTGCAGAAAGTTAATTGTTCTATGGCTTTGGGGTTACGGTCTTGCTTTGGGCTAAAATCGTGGGAAACAGAGGCTGCTAAGGGGAAGAGACTAGAAACCGGCCTACAGGGAGGTTTCTGCCTTAAAGCTAGAGCCAGGGAAAAGCGCTCTTCAGGAGCCCAGGGTCTTAAGTGCTTAAAAAACAGGATATATATGGCATTCAGTACATTTCTCAGCACCTAGAGAGTCACAGTGCCATTGGGACAAGAGGTCAAACACTGATGAACTAACCATCTAGGGGAGCACGATAATCCCCAAGGAATGTTCTGCCTCCTAGGGAGGTGCTCACTGATGCCAGACTGGCAATGTGGGGCATGCGCAAAGAGGGAGCTTTGTATGTTGCAGGCATGGGGTTGGGGGGCAGGGATACAAGGGCGGTGTCTCAAAGGGCAATGGCTAATTGGGGGACTGGCTGTGCGAAACTTTTCTTGGAGACCCAGAATTTTCACTTCCATCACCTCTTCTTAGGGCCTTTGTGAAACTTGGAGCAGCAACCAAAGAACTGAAGCATTTAACCAGGCTCATGAAACCTGAAAGCCAATCCCTGGGCCAAGTCACCTGGCCATTTCCATCCGAATGAATTTATTTGAACAAGGGAAATGACCACCACCTCTTAGTCCGTTAAGGATTCCCCAGTTCTATAGCAGTGCAAACATTCCACATTGTTTTTAGAGAGGAGATGCTGGGTTTTCAGATGTTGGTAGTGACTGTACTGAAGTTAGGCATTCGTGGCGTTTGTTACATTCAAATAATTATTAGCTTTAATTCCGCTTTTAAGGCACTTTTGCTTAATAAAAAGTGGTTACAGTAAATAAATCACTACATGGCATTAATGCAGCTATTGGCAATGATCACTTGCAATGCTGATGCCCCACGCAGGAGCTATTTATTGCATGATTTTGGCTATATGGCTCCAAGCTTCGGCTTTCTTCTTGGCCAGGGAGAACCAAACTGGCTCTTCCGGTTCTACTGGCTCACGGAGCACAGCTGGGAGAGTTGAAGACTGCCTGGTTTCTTTGGCCATGGTGGGCACTTGAGCTGTCTTCTGATCTTCAAATCCTACGAGAACCACAGCAAATAACACGCAAGCAGTAAGAAGCCCCAGAGACACTCAGGGATGTTTATGGGATACAGTAAAATTTCTCCTCCTTTCAGGTTTCCTCGGGCTTTTAAAAGTCCCAAGCATGGGCCTGCTACCGGTGGTCTCTCGAAGGGATAAAATCTACAGAACTATGGCCACGGGGGCCTGGGCATGGGAAGGCCCAAGAGAAGATACCGGCCAAGTTTGGGTGGTTATTATTAGACTGTCTCACACTTTTGACTTGAGACCAGGGAGGAAACCATATGATATGTTATCTATTCAGTTTTTTTACATTTCAAATCAGGTAATGTTATTTCTGTTTTGCCCATCTGTGTCACGTGAAATGACTAATAAGGATTCAGTAGATCCACCCAGTACAAGTCTGTGCTAAAGAACACTGTACACACTATTCTGACCAAGCAGACAACCTCCTCATCCCTTAGTTCTACTCCTTCCTTCATCCTGCTTTATGGCTGACGGACTCAGTGACTTTGCCTCAACCAGTGTGCGGGGTATGCACTAGAATCACCTAGGGCTCTCTCTCTCTCTTTTTATTTAAGCAATCAGACATTTATTTGGTCAATTAGAATTGCAATTCAGGAGACACAGATTTGGGGTAGAAGCCTGACTGCTGGTATACAGCTAGAGCTTTTTTCTTTTACTTTTTAAAGATTTTATTTATTTATTTGACAGAAAGAGCACAAGCAGGTGTGCAGCAGGCAGAGGGAGAAGCAGGGAGCCCGAAGTGGGGCTCGATCCCAGGACCCTGGGACCATGACCCGAGCCGAAGGCAGACGCCCAACCAACCAAGCCACCCAACCACCCAGCTAGAACTCTTTAAAAATACCAGTGCCCAGAGGCACCTGCGTGGCTCAGTTGGTGAAGCATCTGACTCTTGACTTCAGCTCAGGTCCTGATCTCAGGGTCGTGCGATCGAGCCCCATATCAGGCTCCACGCTCAGAGCCTGCTTAAGATTCTCTCTCCCTCCCTCTGCCCCTCCCCTCCATCTCCAAATAAATAAATCTTTAAATAAAAACACCAATGCCCACACCATTTCGTGAACTAACAAAATTAGAATCTTTAGCAATGGAGCAGGGCCATCTGTACTTTTGTAAATGTTTCAAAAGCTCGCCAGGTAATTCTAATGTACAGAGCTGAGAACCATCTGACAGGAGTAGAATGCCCGTGAGATTATTAATAGCTATCAGCAGGTCAGGTGCCACGATTTCGTGGCCAGACCATGGCTTCCTAAGTTCCTAGTCTAATTTCTTCATGAAGGGGACAAAGGGAGAGGACAAAGATGATTCAGTGCAAACCCAACCTCCCCTCCCCCTGCTCCTGCTGACAAGAAAATCCCTCTGGCACACACCTCTACTGTTGAGACCACATTCTATTCTATCACAGCCCGGTGTTCGCTTGGCTTTCAACACCTCCCCACCTCCCATGCCCTGCTCAGAAGGTGGAGAAGCAAGCCTTTGAAATAGTGAAAAGAAACAATTCGACACCACTGGGCCTGTACATTGGATTTTTTAAAGTGTCCCTGGGGCTGTAGAAGGTGAGAAAGTACTGCTTTGCTCTGAGCTGGAAAGGAGCCCGGTGCTCTCCTCTGGACTCGCAGCCGCGGGGACATTTTAGTGAGTGATCACAACTCTGTACCTATACCAGCTTCCTCGACAAGGCCGAAGACTGGGAGGCCCTTGGAAAGTCACCCACTGGACTCAGAGTGGTCCTCACAATTGGATTTTCCTGAAACAAGCTAATATCTGTACCTAATGGAAGAGCCATGTGAAGCACTAGGCTGATGTGGGGTGGAGGAGGGGGTGGGGAAAGACATGTGTTGTCTGAGATGGAAATTGCAGAAGTTTCCCAATATGCTGCCAGGACTTTTTTTTGGGGGGGGGGGGCTGTTTTTACCTGCTTTGGTCCACCTAGGTAGCTTCTGTGCCATCTTCTCTGGTTTATTGACATCGGAAGTAAAAGTCTTTCTGGGTTGGTTTTCACTTGCAAGGCCAGCTCCCTTTAATACAAAAATGAAAACAAATAGCTTGTTAAGTCCTGATGTGGAGAAGAGTGAATTACTTATTCAGAAAACCGCAAGGGGCAAGCCCTGTCCTGGCTATTAGAGTTCCACATTAGTCAAAAGGAAAGAGAGAGGGGCGGGGGGGGGAACGAAATAGCACTGAGAGGAACTTGGCTCAGAATTTAGGTTCACAAAACCTCAGCTGGTTCAAGTTTACCACCTTTGAGATCTGGAAGAAAAGGCCATCAAATCATACAAATAGTGTAAACAGGTTAACATAATTATTTAACCTGAGAACAACCTTTTCCCTAACACACTACCAACACTTAAAAACAAGCTACCAGAATGCGGGGGTTATGAACAAATCTTATCAAGGAATTGAAGTGAGTTCCACAGGATCTCACTTACCAAAACTGTTGACCTCTGACTTGCACTCCTTCCACCAGAAAGAGACGTAGCTACAGGTCTTTCCAGAATTGTACAGTTTAAGCTTTTCAAAGGCACCTCGCCACAACTGGTCTAAATTACTGAGTTTATATACCCTGGTGCATTTTCCCCTGACGAAAGCTTTAACCAAGGTGCGCTTTGCCCCTGTACCTCCTGCTCCCATAAAAATACTAATGATGAAAATGAAAAAAATCTTTCAAGTAGAGTTAAGCAGATCCTAATGTTGATCCCTCGACAGTTACAGTAAGCAGCCAACAATACAAGAACTTAGACATATCTCTTGGTATGTAAATGTGATATGTTTCCTTAGGTCAGTTGTTCTGCGGTTTTGACAAGAGGGGCTCTCATTCCAGCACCTCCAAAGACATTGCAAATGGGACGTTGGAAGCAAGACACCATCCCGTCAACCCTGATCCACAGGTGGGACCGTTAGTCTAGTTCATCACGTAACCTTGCTTCTCACCTGTAGGCAGGTGCCACACCAAAGCCAACCAATATGCAAAGCCCCAAATATCAAGCATTACCTTTATAAGGTCAATCGTTATGGATGGTATGAACAGGTGCCCAGAGATGAGACGTCAAATGAAAAATAGTATGTATAGTTTGATCCCCCACTTTTTTTTAAAGATTTTATTTATTTATTTGACAGAGACAGAGATAGCGAGAGCAGGAACACAAGCAGGGCAGCGGGAGTGGGAGAGGGAGAAGCAGGCTTCCTGCCGAGCAGGGAGCCCGATGTGGGACTCGATCCCAGGACCCCGGGATCATGACCTGAGCTGAAGGCAGACGCTTAATGACTGAGGCACCCAGGCGCCCTCTAGTTTGATTCCCTTTATATCTTCTTCAATACATACGTATATCCATAGGCATAAAACGCCTGTAAGGATAGTTACTCAATTGTCATCCCAGTGGTTACCTTTGGGGTTTTTTTCTATAACTTATTCCTCACTGCTCAACCGATTTCATGGAATCCTGCTCTAGAATATTCAGGACAGGGTTTGATTTACGGAACCTTCTCCTACTCATTACTTTCCACAAACCCTTTCAGAGCATAAAGCCGGGCACGTTATTTTCTGAGTACCAGGCACAACTCCTCCCCGGGAAGAGTCCCCCTGCCTTGATTAGTGCACCCAAAGAGGTGGGGAGCTGCAGGCTTGGCAGAGTTTCTGACGCAAGCTTAGTCAACCAACTCTAGTGACCTTGTGGAATGTTTTGTGGGCTGCCACAGGTTCTCCCCCATGTCTAGGCTCTTTGGCCTCAGGCTTGGCTCCAGCTTTGTTCTTGGTTTTTGCCTCTTTCTTAGGAATGTAGGCCTGGGAGCTCTTCTGCCTCTGCTTTACCATGGTTATCCAAGCTGGCTCTGAGGCGGCATAATCTGACTGTCGACCAAGAACCTTTCCTGAGAAAGGAAGGACAGTGGTTAGAACCGAAGTGAGGCAGGCAGGGTCTCGAGCCGGGCCGGGGCCTGCCCACACTAATGTACCAGATGGCATCCTTGTTAATTGCCAGATGAAAATGAACAGAGATCCCATCGAAAAGGGCCCCCTTCTTTGGTGCCATCCCCACAACCTAGCAAGGCAGGAGCTCCTTGCGTAGATCAGAGTTTGCATACCGTCCCCTAACTGGTCCCTCGCCCTCCCTCGTCCATCCCTCTTCGTATCCCCAAATCAGGGTAGGACCAGGGTGGCCAGGTGGGCTGGGAAAACTCCCAGGAGGCCAGAGGCTCAGGCTACTGATGGCATTCCTCGAAGTCCAAAGAGTATCTTATAGCATTTGACACTACACATTCCCTCGTGCAAGTGCGTGGTTTCACGGGTGTGGTTCTAGGCATGAAGACCAGGGCTGGTCAGTGTGAAGGTACAAAGGTTTTGAGAGAGATCAGTGCTCGAAAGATCACCTAGCTCTGGATTCTTAGACATTTCAGGTGTGGGAAGCGGCTTTGGAAGTATAAGCATTTACAGTAAATTAAGATTTCAAGCTGCGAGTCTGAATGTGGTGCTCTACTAATGAGCTGGCTTTTAAAAACCACGTGGTGTCGTGGGAGGGGGGTGGGGAGCATAATACGTGTCGAAGTATTTTGAGAAAGGTATAAAATTCCATCCAAAGGGAAGGTGCACAGAAGGAATAGGCAGATGGTCGTGTGTCCATCACAGAATGTGGATGGATGGATGTCCCTGGGACAGGGAAGACTCAAAATTAACCATCTCCAGATCCATTAAGCCAGAATGGGGCACCATCCTGCTCCTAAAATCCACAAGCCAGCCCTATCAAAGCAAATACTCAGCAGGCAAGGCTAGAGCAGACTTCCTCCATTCAAGACTTTGATCTCTAGTTCTTCCCTCCACTTGGTACCTCCTTGCCCTCTGGAAAGAGGAAGTCTCACCTGGGACCTTGTAAATGGGTTGCTTCTTGGCCACACTTTCGGATTTGGGCCTGCTCTGTTGCTTCTCCAGCATGTCAGATGCTGTGGCGGGGTTCTCTGCAGTGCCCAGGAGCCCCTGGGAAACGCTTCTTCCGATTCGCTGTTCTTTACATGTGGAAGATGAAACTGGACCCAAGGAGAGCGAAGAAAGCTTGGTAAGGTCGTCTTGTTTCTCACTCTTGTGCTTCTTCAAGGAAGGGACTTTTCTTAGGCGAACTCCAAAAAGGGTTTCAACACCAGACCCACCGGTGGATACGTTTGCATGGCTGTTACTTTGATCGCCGCTCTCGAGACCTTCCCCCTTGGAGTAAGTGCCCCCAGCAGTGGATGCCTGCCTGGTAGGAGCCGTGCTGAGCTTCACGGGTTTGGTAGAGGGAGGCAGGCTATTCTTAATGAGGTCTTCAGCGCCTTGGCGATGTTTCTTGGTCTTGCTCGGAGAAGCCGGGCCTCTTGGTGGGGCCCAGCTGCCGGGGCGGCTCTCAGACAGGGCGCCCTCAGCGGCAGCCCTCGCGGAACCTGGCCAGACCTGGGGCGGACGTTCGGGCTTGGCGGGTGCCTGGGGAGTGCGTCCAGGCTGCTGAGGCCGGCACTCCTCAGACCTGCTCCAACCTGCAGGGGCATTCGCGGGGCCTGGGGAGAAAAGCTGGGGCTGCAATTCGGCCCCCTCCTTGGCCTGGGGAAGGCCTCTGGAAGGCAGCCGCTCTTTGGAGTGCTTCTGTATTTCAGGAGAGCCCTGAGAGAGCAGGGAGGAGACTTGCCGGGACGCGAGCTTCCCTGGTGCCGGGCACAGGTGTCCGGGCGGCAGCAGCTCCTTGTAACTGCTCTGCTTGGGCTTCGCGGGGGCACTCTCTGAATGTGGGAGAACCGCTCTGGGGCCTTCGGGCCCCCTCGGGGGCTGTAAAGGGCGTGCTGTAGGCAGCAGCTTCGACGAGATGCCTCCCCCGGTACTGGCATTCTCTGGGCCCGAGGAAGCTGGGTACTGGACTTTAGACCTCAAAAGAGCTTTGGAAAGTTGATTCGCAGATGGAGGATGGGCAGGGCCCTCAGAAAAAACTTGTTCTGCCATAAACTTCACAAAAGACCGGGAAGGATGCCTGGGCACCGGCGGTTTCTCAGCCGAGCCTCCTTCCGCAGCGGTAGTCTCTAGACGGGAGGACATCTCCTGAACCTTGGACCTGGATGAGACCTGGGTAGGATACTTGGAAGGCACTGGCTTCCCAGACACGGCCGCCTCGGCACGAGCACTCTCACAACTGGACGACATTTGCTGCCCTTTGCATCTCCCAGGGCACTGGGAAGGCTGCCTGGAAGGCAGCGGCTCTGCAGAAGCATCTTCCTCGGTGGCAGCCCTTTCTGGAGCTGCGGAGGCCGGAGGCTTGACCACTGCTGCGGCCAGGGCCTGAGAAGACCTTCGGAGAGAGTGCCGCTGCTCCATAGCCATGATCCTCAGGGCCTCGGCGCGCTCTAGAGCCTCGGAGACGGGCTGCTTGACTTTTGTGTTCCCCCGGGACTGGAAAGAGCATCTGGAAGGCTTCCGCGGGGCGGCGGCCGCGGGAGCGCCCGGTGCTGGAGGAGCGTCCCGTTCTGGAGGAGCGCTCGCCGACCGCCGGGAGGCTGCTCGCTCCGCTCCCTGCCTCCTGGGGTCCTGAGAAGGCTTTCTGGGAGGCAGCGGGGGCAGCGGGGGCGGCGGGGGCGGCGGGGGCAGCGGCTCCAGAGAAATGCCCCACTCCAGAGCAGCGCTCTGGGCACTCACAGAGCCCTCGTGCTCGCCTGAGGAGCTCAGCCAGGACTGGTAGACGCTTCTGGGGGGCGCCGGGCCCGGCACCGGGGCGGGGCCGAGGGCGGGGCCGAGGGCGGGACCCAGGGCGGGGCCGAGGGCGGGACCCAGGGCGGGACCCAGGGCGGGACCCAGGGCGGGACCCAGGGCGGGCCGGGCGGTGGCAGCCGAAGCTCCCACTGCGGCCAGCGGGCAGGGCTGCGGCTGGACTTTCGGCCTCACCGAGGGCTGGGCGGGGCCTCTGGGCGGCGGCTCCACGGACGGGCCCTCCCCGACAGCCGTCTCGGATGCTTGCGGGGCCTTAGGATTTGTCAAGGACGCAGCAGAATCTGGGGGGAGCTGCGACTCCCCTGAAACGGCCTTCTCCGCGGCGGCGCCCTTCGGACCCGAGGACACATTCGGTTCCACTCTGGCCTTCAACGAGGCCTGGGCAAGCACTTTGAGAGGCAGAGGCTCCGCAGAAGCTGCCGGGCTTTCGGGACTGGCAGAGGCCCGTGGCGGGACCAGAGGGCGCGTCGGGGGCTGAGCATGATATCCGGGCAGCGGCGGCGGCTGCCCAGGGACGTTCTTTTTGACCACAGCGCCTTCGGCACCCAGGCACCCTTGCTCAATGACGGGTCTCACGACCGCCTGGCACGGACGGCGGGGCGGCGGCAGCTCCACCGAAATGCTCCCCTCCACAGCCGGGGACTCGGGGTCCTCCCGGGTCGCCTGCTCGGCGATGGGGTCTAGCGGCGGCTGAGAATGAGGTCTCGGGGGCGGCGGGGGCGGCGGCGGGGACGGCGGGGGCGGCGGCGGCGGCAGCAGCAGGTCCACGGAGGTCACCCCGACGGCGGCAGCCATTTCTGGACCTTTGCAGCCGGCTTGCTCAGGCCAAGGCCTGAGCAGGCGCTTAGACGAGATTCTGGGCGGCGGCGGCGGCGGCGGCGGCGGCTCCAGAGCAATGGCCCACTGCACTGCGGCGCCCGCGGGGCCCGCGGGAGCCTGCTGCTCAGCCTGAGGGCTCCGCCAGGGATGGGCGGGCTGCCGGGCGGGCGCCGGCTCCGCGGGGCTGCTCCGGGGAGGGCCCGCGGGCCTCGCCGACCCCGAGGACGCTTGCTGCTGAAGGATCGGCCTCGAAAAGGTCAGAGCGAGCCGCCCCACGGACACCTCCCAGTCCTCGGGGAGGTGCTTCGCCGCCAAGGCGCCGTGCTGTTGGTCTGCGGGCTGCCCCGAGGCCTGGGAAGGGGGCCTGGGAGGCACGTCCTCCTCGGAGCTGCTCCAGGCACCAGCACTGTTGTGCTTCTTCTCCACGTGACCGTGGGGGTCTGTGCGGCCTTTGTCCTGGGGCCCCTGCAAGGCCTGCACGGCACAGGTGGGCGTCAGCCGCTCGTCAGAACTGCCCGAGTCCGCAGAACTTTTTGAGTCTGTGGCCTCTTGGTCACCGTCAGGCTTCCCCAAGGACTGGGAGGGGTGTGTGGGAGCCGGCTGCCGCTGCGCCCCGCTCTCCTCCTGCAAAGGACTCGCTGGATCCGAGGACGCCGCTTCCGCCGCCGGCTTCCCGAAGGCCGGGAGAGAGTAGCTCGCAGCCAGCTGCAGCTCAGGGCCGCTCGCTCGCGCGGCCGAGCTTTCCGACTCGGTGAAGACTTGTCGGTCATCGGCAGGCTTCCCCAGGGCCTGGGAAGAAGGCCTGGGAAGCAGCTGCTGCCCCGAACCGCTCTCCTCCTCGGAAGCACCCTCTGGATCCGAGGACGCTTCTTCAGCCGCCCAGGCGAGGCTTCTGGAAGGCAGCCTCTCCGCAGACCTGCCTCCCTCGGCCAAAGCACTTGCCGGACCTGAAATGCTCGCGGCGAAGGCCGGGAGGACGTTTCCGGGAGACTTCTCTCTGCAGACAGCGGGGCTATCTTGAACTGACGCCATTTTCAAGTTGCTCGCTTGCACATCAAAGCTGAAAGCTTCTTCCCCTTCAGACTGCGTCTGAGAAGGATCCATGAACACTTGGGCCTCAATGGCCCCTGAGAAGAGGACATCGTCCGGGGTTGGAGAAAGGCTTTCCGCCGCCGATGAACGAGCAGCTCTGGCTTCTGGCTGCTCGCCTCCGGAGGCCCCATCTTCGTGGCACGGCGATGAGCCACCGACCACGGACTCTGCCGTGTCTTCCGGTACAGCTTGGGACACCGGGCCTTTTCCGGCGTCCAGATCTGCCCCAGCCTTTCTCTTTCCGTTGTCATCTTGATCTGGAAGCAGCTCCTGAGGGGTAGCGCGTTCTGCCTGCGGAGTGGTGGGCGGCTCCCTGACTTGGCGCTCCAGAGACAGGTTCCAGAGAAGACACTCTCCGGCAGGCTTCTCGGCAGGCGGGGACCCAGCCCTTTCAGCTAGGCCAAGCCCTCGAATGGACTGCTTAAGGCTGCTTCCACTGGGCGCACACTCACTCGATCCCGAAGGACTTGATCCTTTTTGGGGTCGACGTCTTCCGTGCGCTCCTGACAACGGGGAGCTCTGACTCCCCGCAGCGTCCGCTCCTGCAGCCTGGTCTGCTGTCTCCTTATCAGAAATTTCAGTTCCCTTGCTCTGCTTCAGGCTTGAGACACCTGTACCCAACAGAAATAAGGAAAAGAAAAAAATATGCATGCTTCGGACTTCCTAAAATAAGAGGATTCTGCCCCCGGGCCCTGTGGGTAACTATTCACCACTGACTTCCTCCGTATAACGAAGTAGCTATTCAGAAGAGAGTTGGCAGCTTGGTCACTATTAGCCTCTGCAGTTGGAAATGTTTAAATCCAAGTGAAATCCCAATTTTACGAACCGATTACAAGGTCGGCTCATGGACAGCAAATCGATAGTCTGGTCCACCGTTAGGCGGGAGACATGTTAAAAGGCCGTTTTTGGGGGCGCCTGGGTGGCTCAGTCGTTAAGCGTCTGCCTTCGGCTCAGGTCATGATCCCAGAGTCCTGGGATCGAGCCCCACATCGGGCTCCCTGCTCTGCGGGAAGCCTGCTTCTCCCTCTCCCACTCCCCCTGCTTGTGTTCCCTCTCTCGCTGTGTCTCTGTGTCAAATAAATAAATAAAAAGCTTAAAAAAAAAAAAAGGCCATTTTTTAACCTGTAACAATGATCACCCTTTAGGAAACTGACTGGGGCCAGACACAGGGGAATTTTACTTTCTAATTAATATTTATATTTTTTACTTGATTCTATTTAATTTTCACATCGTGTGCGGGCATTGCTTTACTTTTTAGAAAGGTGTCAACGCGGTGGGGGGAGGTTATCTGGGAGGTAAGATTGTGGCCCCCTTTTCTTTTGCTTTTTACTCTCTTATATTAAATGAATCTGATGTAATATACAGGCAAAGCAATTCTTGGAAAGCCTTAACAATGACATCAGTCCATACAGCCTTCAGGTCAAATGCAAGGCAGCAGTGACACAGAGTGCCCCTCTCCTCTCTAGTACTTTTGCTGAGGGACTCAGTTTGATCACACACCCCCACCCCCCCATCCCCAGGAAGGATCGCTGCCTTCTCTGCCTCATCATTCAGTGCATCCCTGACCTCCATCTAGTGGTTTCCTATCCAGCGGTAGGGCACTGGGCGTAGCTGGCTGCACTCCAAACCACTCCCATTTATGGAAAACCCAAGTATCTGCCCCCCATGGACACCGGATCTGTTCTATCCTCTGTGTGTAAAAGGGACAACTATTAAAAAAAATAAGAGAAAAAGTTTAAAAAGAAAGTAAATTTAAATTTCATTTCGTTTTCTTCTGTGTGTGTGTATGTTTCGGGACAGTTTTGTGGTTTTGTGAGTTTCCATGGAAAAATGTGTTTAGGGATATCCTTTTTTTGAACCCACATGTGAAATCCTTTGTGGCAAAAAAATATGAACTAACTGCTCAACTTAACTGTGGAACTGGAATTTTGTTTTATCAAGTATTGCTTGAAATTAGGTTGCCATCAGCTGGAACCAACATCTCCATGCACACACACACACATACACACACCCAGATTTTCACCCCAGTGGTATTTGTGGTTTGGGGGATTTGGTAGGTGTTGGTTGCCAAGGACATGTGTCCATAGCTGCCTGAGCCCACTTCGCCTCTGGATATGGGAACTGGTCTCACTGTTATCACAAGACCTTTTTCTCTCTACTGGAAGAGAAGAGCAACCTTAAAAAACTAGTTTTGAGCTAATTCTGTTATTATTGTCTGGTTCTGGTGTTCAGGGGACACTGAAGGGGGACTCATTGGCCACCCTCAGATACACCTTAGCCTTAGAGAGGATTAGACAAGCTTACAAACAAGCAAGAGCTACACACCTCTCTGGTTGGAAATTCATTTCGACAAAATAGTGATCCAGGCATAATCTTTTACCTTGATCCCACACACGGGGCAATGGTATGAGTCGGGCAGTTTAGATGGAGGAAGCTGGACCCCTTTGATACGCATCTTAAACTGAAAGCTCTCAGAGGGTACCAGGGACAGAGAGCAGCCTAGGTAAATCGTATTCTATAGCTCCTCTCACACAGCAATTAAGCCCATCATACACGTTTCTGAATGAGGGTGAGGATGTGCCAACCTGCGCTGTCTTTTTTCAGCTTCTTTTTGTCAGCTTCTTTTGGTATGGTTGTACTCTTCTCTTCTCCAGAAACCACTAGAAGGGTGGGCTCCTCTTGCTTTGCTTTCCCCTGAAAGACAGAAAAAAGAGCTTCAGAAGGAAAGTGCTTCCCACCCACCCCTGAGTGGTTGCCGAAGGAGATGACATCAGGAAAAAAAAAAAAAAAGTCCTTGATCTCCAAAGGGCTCTGCTGGGAACATAACAATATCATTAACCACAGAAATGATTTCCAATGGCATTCATCCCCTTGCTGATCATTTTACCCACTGGAAGTGATCATTATTTTAGCTGTTGGGAGTGATTCACCTAGATTGGAAGCTTCTGATCTCTGGCTGGTTTGCGGCAACTCCCCGAAAACCGCAGAACCACGCTCCGAGGCCGTCAGTCTGAAAGTGGGCCTGTGGGGCCTGACGGCAATCCTATTCTTGCCAGCACTGGAATTCCCAAATTTGTTTTTGCCAGATCTGGGAGCCAAACTCAAATCCCATTCGGCTTCTTTGCAGGAAATTTAGTGGAAGCATGAATTAGGTCTTTCCGGCTCCAGAGAAGAAAGAAGATTGGGGTTTTGCTGGGCAAGAAGAGAGAAGATGATGAAGGGTTCGGCCTTTACGCTGAAAGGGTTGAAGTCGGTTTACTATAAACAAGGTTTATGGATGATTACGGGGCAGCTTTGGAAACGTTTGAGGGACACTGCACCGAACAGCGGCGGGAAGCTGCTCTGTGTGAGCCTCTGTGACACGCGTCTGAAGACAAATGTCCTACTCGTTCCGCTCCCACTCAAAGTGCCCGTGCAAACACATTCAGCACAAAGGAATTTATTTTTGAGTGAATGAGGTGAGACCGGCCTGGGTTCAAATCTGCTCCAGCATTTACTCACCGTGTGAGCTTGACCGGGTTGTTCTCTACATCTCTATGCCCACATCAATCTCTACATCTCTAGGCCCACACCTTTAAATCAGGGGTGAGGGGGGACCTAAGAAACTCCAAAGCAAGGAGCAAGTGCCAGCAGCCTTTGTGTCAAACATGGTCCTGGACCCTTTCATATTCACCCATGTGTCGGAGAGAGTCACATGGAAGAAAATGTCCTGACCTTCTGAGACAGTGATGCCCAGGCCTTTTCTTCTTCTTCTTCTTCTTTTTTAAGATTATTATTTATTCATTTGAGACAGAGAGCTACAGAGAGAGAGCATGAGCCAGGGGAAGGGCAGAGGGAGAGGGAGAAGCAGGTTACCTGCGGAGCAGGGAGTCCGATGTGGGGCTCGATCCCAGGACCCTGAGATCATGACCTGAGCTGAAGGCAGACGCTTTGCCAACTGAGCCACCCAGGCGCCCTGCCCAGGCCTTTTCTTAATTAGGCTATGCAGAAGGAAGAGAGTCAGAGGCTCATACTACTTTTCCCTTAGCCAACATTCCCCATTTCCCAGGTTTGTGGTGAGGCGTCCAGGTGATAATGCATATATAAGGTTTAGTGCATAGTAACGTGTCACCTTCTGCTTGACAACTGACCAAGGCGATCCTCTCAGGGCCACCAGAGGGCCCCCTCCTGGACCTGCTGTCCTGCTGACTGTTCTTTTCAACTCGTATTTTGTTCTTTCTTTTTTGTTTTTTTTAGAGAGAGAGAAAGAGAGCACAGAGTAGGGGAGGGGCAGAGGGAGAGGGAGAGAACCCCAAGCAAACGTCCTGCTGAGTGCAGAGCCCGATGCGAGGCTCGATTTCACGACACTGAGATCTGAACGTGAGCCAAAATCAAGAGTCGGACCCCGAACCAACTGAGGAACCAAGGCGCCCCTTGTTGTCTTTTCAAAGCTAAACTGAGGTGTCTGAGCTCGATGCAACATGGTGGGGTGAAAAGAGTATGGGGTTGGAAGTCAAGACTGGGTTCTGGCCCCAGCTCTGCTACCATCAGGGTGTGTGACCTTAGGCAACTATTTGTACTTTAATGTCCTTCCCTATAAAATGGTTGTAAGTCCTTCAAGAAGCCTGGGAATAAACTCCCACGTAATAAAATCTTTTAGTGTCTTTCAGTTCTGGCTACAACCCTTACTCATAGCCCAGAGGCACTGAGGGATTGGGTGTTTGACCATAGTGAGATCTTCCAGCTAACTGACACATCTTTTTAAACACCAACATCTTTTAGTAAATTAAAATTAAACACCAACGTCTTTTACTTTTTAGTAAAAATCTTTCCCAAAGGCATTACTTCCCTATCTTCTTAAACAGATATCAGGAAACACAGGTAAACTTTTCTTGATGGCTTGGATAAATAATAAACACGATCTATTACACTGGACCGTGATAGGGTGTGGCCCTGAGGGATTTACTGAGGTGGGCAAGGTTCTGGATCCCTCTACTAAATGGTCTCAGATCATTTCTGCCATCTTTCTCTGCTATCAATGGTCACGTCTCTTTGTTGCCAGATCTCCCAGTCTGGTGGCCATGTTTTTAACATAACTGGCCTGCCTCAATGTAGCTCTGTCTGCTAGAAAATCACATGACACAACTTTGGGATATCTATGAGACACTGAGAGATCTCTGGGGGTATTAATAGCTGAGTTCTGAATGCTTGGAGTTGCTGGAAGCCTGGCCTCCAAAGGAGTTGAACAGTGCTACAATTTGTAGCTCACGGGTCTTACCTCATTAATAATTAAAAGAAACCTGATCTGGGCCACAGTTGAATATCCTCTACAAAGAGTGCTGAGTGAATTCCCAGATGCCAAGCCAAGAAGCAGTTCCTGGGGTTTAGGTCACTGTTTCTGCTCTTTTCCGTCCCTTTTGTGTAAATTCCAGGTGGATAAGATATCCCACCTACCAGATGCAAGTTTGCTCACCTCTCTGCGGGGGGGTGGTGGTGGTGGTGGTTGGTGTCAAGCTTGGGACAGTGCCCTTGACTTCACCATCCTTACTTAGGGCATAGATCCCTCAAACCATACCACTCCCCTAGGAGCAGTTTGTGAAGGTTGGAACTCATCTCTTATTACATGGGAGTTTATTCCCAGGCCTCTTGAAGGACTTACAGTGGTTTGAGGGTTCTTTTTCTTCTTTTGTTTCTGGGGGTTTAAAGCCATCTTGTGTCGAGCAGCTGAGGAATCCAAACAGCCCTTAGTAGTGGCTGGGGTGTTGAAACTCATGGGCAGGTGAGTGCTGCCGGGAGAGGCAATCATGGCAAAAGTGGTCAAAGACTGTGAGTGGATGGGTCCAGGTGAGGGCTCAAAGGAGCTCTGGAGAGAGGGGGAGAAAAGGAATGGGCCAACCCCTTATGCTGTCACTGGTCCTGAAAGCTGGAAGCTGCTCTGGCTGAAGCACTCCTAAAGAAGCAATCCTTGGGACGCCTGGGTGGCTCAGTCGGTTAAGCGTCTGCCTTCAGCTCAGGTCATGATCCCGGGGTCCTGGGATCGAGCCCCGCATCGAGCCCCGCATCGAGCCTCCTATCAGGCTCCCTGCTCGGCGGGAGGCCTGCCTCTCCCTCTCCCACTCCCCCTGCTTGTGTTCCCTCTCTCGCTGTGTCTCTCTCTGTCAAATAAATAAATAAATAAAATCTTCAAAAAAATTCTCCCTTTATCGCTACTTTCTGCCATTTTAATTATTACGGGTCTTGGGGTCCTTGAAAGAGAACGTGTTTCCTTCTGCCACCAGCAGGGGGCAGCAGCTTAGAGAGGAAAATAAAACAGCCCGCTTGGCAAGACACCCCCCGCCCCCACCCAGAGACTCCGCTATCTTTCAGTCTGACTTCCCTCCTTGGATGATGTGGTTTTCCGCCTAGCTCCCTAGTTGATCCTCAGCGAGAAGGAAGTTGGAGCTGGCTTTGTGGGAAAGCCTCTGGGGATGAACTACTTGGGGGTCATAATTTATGGGAAGCTTAGAATAGCATCCAGGCCGGCACATCTGGTTGGGATGGGGATTACAGCTGCTTCTCGGGATGCCGCCGTTGCTGCCCTCCTCGTGCTCACCACAGTGAACTAATGAACCAGGAAGCGTGGCAGAAACAGCTAAGAAACGCTCACGCCTGGGGGTGGGGGGGGTTTGACCACACCGCCCAAGATGAGACTTTCTGCCTGGCAGCCCAACATTTAACCTATTGCAAGCAACCTGACTGAATACTTGAACTTACTAATAGAAAGTTTGTTACATTCAAGCAGGGCAAATGTTTAGACTGATGCTTGGAAATGTTGACTATAAATAATTTAGTTCTATTTATTGACCTATAACATACATAGCCTACTCAAATTAACAGAAAGAAAAAAACCCTATGTCTTCAAATGTTACCTAATTTTTAAAATTGTACCCCCAAGATAAATACCAAGAATTTAAAAATATAGAGAGAAGGAAATAAGAAGGGAATGAAAATGGGTACACTGGGGCACCTGGGTGGTTCAGTCGGTTAAGCATCTGCCTTCCGCTCAGGTCATGATCTCAGGGTCCTGGGATCGAGCCCCGCATCGGGCTCCCTGCTCGGTGGGGAGCCTGCTTCTCCCTCTCCCTCTGCCCCTCCCCCTGCTTGTGCTCTCTTTGCCTCTCTCTCAAATAAATAAGTAAAATCTTAAAAAAAAAAAAAGAAAGAAAATGGGTACACTAAGACAAAACAATTAAATCCAAAAGAAGGTGGCAGTGGAGGAACTGAGGGGAAAAAAAGATATAAGATAGGCAGGGAAAAAAGAGCAAAATGGCAGCAGTAAGTGCTTCCTTATTAGTGATTACTATGAATGTAAACTATGAGTGTAAATAAATTAAATTCTCGAATCGAAAGGTAAAAATTGGCAAGATGGATTTAAGAAATATGATCTCTTTATATGCTGTATACAAAAGACTCACTTTAAACCCAAAGACACAAATAAGTCGAAAGCGAAAGGATGATTAAAGATATTCAAAGCAAATAGTAACCAAAAGAGCCAGGTGGCTACACCAATATCAGATAAAATAGACTTTAACTCAAAATTGTTATAGAAGATCAATATTGACCTAATACATTGATAAAAGGGTCAATCTATCAGAAAGAAAGAACAATCATAAGCATATACACCCCAAACAGTCCCCTCCAAATACATGAAGAAAAATGGACAAAATTGAAAAGAGAAATAGTCCTACAATAGTAGTTACAGACTTCAATATCCCATTTGCAAAGTAAATAAACAACTAGACAGAAGATCAATAAGGAAGTAGAGGACTTGAAACAATCTATAAACCAAGTAAACAGGTATATATATAGAGAGAGAACATTCTGTACAGCAAGAGCAAAACACATATTCTTCTGAAGTACACATAGAACATTCTTCTGGATAGACCATATGTGAGGCCACAAAATAAGTCTTAATAAATTTTAAAAGATGGAAATCATACAAAGCATCTTCTCTAACTACAATGGATTGAAACCAGCAATCAATAACAGAAGGAAAGCTGGAAAATTCACAAATAGGTGGAAATTAAACAACACAGCTGTAAGCAAACAATGGATCAAAGAAGAAATCAAAAGGAAAGTTAGAAAATACTTTGACATGAATAAAAAGTAAAACACAACAAAATGTATGTGATACAGTAAAAGCAGTCCTTGGAAATGTAGAGATATACATTGCCTACGTTAACAAAGAAGAAAGATCACAAATTAATAACCTAACTCTCCACTGTAAGGAACCAGAAGGAGAAGACTAAACCCAAAGCTAGCAAAAGGAAGGAAATAATAAAGATTAAGGCAGAGATAACAAAATAGGGAATAGAGAAACAACAGAGAAAATCAATAAAACCAAAGTGGGTTCCTTGAAAAGTAAAACAAAATTGACCAATCTTTAGCTGGATTTACTAAGGCAAAAAGAGAGAAGACACAAATTACTAAAATCAGAAGTGAAAGGGGACAATCACTACTGACCTTAAATAAAAAGAATTATAAGACAATACTATACATTTGTATATCAACAAATTAGATAACCTAGAGGAAAGGGATACATTCCTAGACACACCCAAATTATCAAAATTGACCCAAGAAGAAATAGAAAATCTGAATTCACCTATAACAAGAGATTGAATCAGTAATCAAAACTGAATCAAATCAAAATCAACAAAACAACAAAAAAGACCAGGACCAGATGGCCTCACTGATGAATTCTACCAAAGTTTTAAGGAATAATCCACACCAATCCTTGAGAAATATTTCAAAAACAATGGAAGAGAGAACATCCTGATTTTGCGAGGCCAGCGTTGCCATGATTCCAAAGCCAAATAAAGGTATCATGAGAAAAGGACACCATAGACCCATATCCCTCATAAAAACACATGCAAAAATGCTAGCAAACCAAATCCAACAGCATATTAAGGCAGTTGTATAGCATGACGACTTTGGTTTTACCCCAGGATTGCAAGGAGGTTTGCATATGAAAATCACTCAATATAATATACCATATTAATAAAATGAAGGACAAAAATAACATGATCATCCCAATTGATGCAGAAAAGCATATGACAAAATCCAATATCTTTTCATGCTAAAAACACCTAACAAACTAGGGATAGAAAGCATATGTGAAAAATCCATAGCTAACATCATATGCAATGGTGAAAGACTGAAATCTTTCCCCCTAAGATCAAGAATAAGACAAGGATGTTCACTCTTAGCACTTTTATTCAACATTCTACTGGAAGTTCTAGCCAATTAGGCAAGGAAAAGAAACAAAAAGCATGCAAATTAGAAAGGAAGAAGTAAAACTATCTCTATATACAAATGACATGATCTCATATGTAGAAAATTATATATATATATGTGTGTGTGTGTATGTATATATAGTTGTAGTCAATATAATTATACTGGATAGTCAGGTGGGGAATTTCAAAGAGCAATGGAAACTATAAAAAAGGAACCAAATAGAAATTCCTAAAACTGAAAATTACAATGTTTGGGGAAAAAATTCCCAGATAGATTTTGCGTTCTCGTAAAAGGAAAAGAAAATACCAAGTGAATTTATACAGAGAGGTCAATAAAAAAGACACAATATGAAGAAAAGAAATTAAAAGATTAACAAAAATGAAATTCTAAAGAATCCCTATAAATCTAGGAGAGCTAATAAATGAATTAATCAAAATTGAAAGATACAGGATCAACAAAAATCAGTTGAACTTCTATACACTGGGCATGAGCAATCTAAAAAGGTAATTAGGAAAACTCTTCCATTCACAACGACATCAAAAAGAATAAAATACTTAGAAATTAACCAAAGCGGTGTGAGACTTGTACACTATAAACTACAAAACATCACTGAAAGAAATTAAAGACCTAAATAAATGAAGACATCCTGTGTTCATGGAATTGGAAGACTTAATGTTAAGATGGTGATACTCCCCAAAGTGATCTAAAAATTCAATGCAATCCTTATCAAAATCCCAATGTGCTTTTTTTAAAAAAATTTTTTTAAAGATTTTACTTATTTGAGAGAGAGAGAGTGTGCATGAGCTGGGGGAGGGGCAGAGGGAGAAGCAGATTCCCCACTGAGCAGTGAACCCGACGTGGGGCTCAATCCCAGGACCCTGAGATCATGACCTGAGCTGAAGTCAGACGCTTAACCATCTGAGCCACCCAGGCGCCGCTCCCAATGTGCTCTTTAGACGATATGGAAAAACTTATTGTAAAACTGATATGGAATTGCAAGGGACCCCAAAAAGCCTAAAAGATCTTAAAGAAAAAAAGGAACAGAATAGGAGGATTCTCACTTCCTGATTTTGAAACTTACTACAAAGCTACAGTAATCAAGACAGTTGGTACTGACATAAGCAGAGACATACAGATCAATGGAATAGAACTGAAAGTCCAAAAATAAATCCATTCATCTGTGGTTAACTGATTTGCAACAAACGTGCCAAGAACATTAAATGGAGGAAACAATAGTCTTTTCAACAAATGGTGCTGGGACAACCGGATAGCCACGTGCAAGAGAATGAAGTTAGACCCTATCTCACACCATATATAAAAAAGAACTCAAAATGGATCAAAGACCTAAACATAAGAGCTAAAACTTTTAGAAGAAAACATAGGGGTAATTTTTCATGATCTTAGAGTGGGCAATGGTGTCTTTGATATGACACCAAAAGTACAAGTACCAAAAGGAAAAAATATCAATAAATTGGATTTCATCAAAATTAAAATATATTTTTTTAAAGATTTTATTTATTTAATTGACAGAGAGAGAGACAGACAGAGAGGGAACACAAGCAGGGGGAGTGGGAGAGGGAGAAGCAGGCTCCTGGCTGAGCAGGGAGCCCGATGCGGGGCTCGATCCCAGGACCCCGGGACCACGACCCGTGCCGAAGGCAGTCGCTTAACCAACTGAGCCACCCAGGCGCCCCTAAAATACTTTTTTAAATGTTATTCTTTTGAAAGAATTAAAAGACAACTCACAGAATGGGTGAAGTATTTGCAAATCATATATCTGAAAAGGGTCAAGTATCCAGAATATATAAAGAACTCATAACTCAACAACAAAAAACCAAACAACACAATTAAAAATGGGCAAAGTACTTGAATAGAACTTTCTCCAAAGAAAGACAAACAAATGGCCAATAAGCATATGAAAAGATGCTTAATAGCGTTAGCCACTAGGGAAATGCAAACCAAGACCACAACGAGATACCACTTCACAGCCACTAGAATGACTATTTTTTTAAAAAAATGGAAAGTAACAAGTGTTGGCTAGCATTTGGAGATAATCAGAACACTTATACCTAAGCAGGGGGGAATGTAAAGTGGGGTAGCTGCTGGGGAAAACAGTTTGGTGGTTCCTCAAAAAGTTAAATATAGAATTACCATATGCTCCAGCAATTCTGCTTTTAGGTATGCATGCAAAAGACTTGAAAACAAGTGTTCAAACAAAAACTCTATATGAATGTTCAGAGCAGCATTATGCACAATAGCCAATAGGTAGATAGGACCCAAATGTCCATCAGTGGATGAATAGCTAAACAAAACACGGTATATCCATACAATGGAGTATTATTCAGCCACAAAAAGGATTGAAATACTACAACATGGATGAACCTCAAAAAAAACTGTACTAAGTGAAAGAAGCCATATGCAAAAGGCCATATACTGTATGATTACGTTTATATGAAGTATCCAGAATGGGCAAATCCAGAGGCAGAAAGCAGGTTGGTGGTTGCCAGGGGCTGAGAGGAGGGAGGAATGATGAGTGACTGCCTGATAAATATGGGGCTTCTGTTCGGGAACCAAAATTATTCAGGAACTAGATAGTGGTGATGGTTGCATTGCATTGTGAATGAACTTAATGCCACTGAATTGTACACTGTAACATGATAAATTTTGTTATGTGTATTTTATCACAGTAAAAATATTATCTAATTCAATCCTTCTACCAATTCAGACTAATTTGTCTGATTTAGTGGTATTCTGCAGAAAATACATATAGTCTAAATCCATAAATCAGTGAGCATTCATATCCACCTACCACCTGCCTGTGCTTTAAGTTTGTTCCTAACTTGATTGCTTTTTTTGTTGTTGTTGACTCATCTAACTGAAGGCTGCTTCCCTCCACAGGATCTTTTAACATCAAAACAGTTTTGTGCTGACTCGCCAATTATCTTCATTATCAATTACCTTTCTGCTTACTTTTTAGTTCCCAAGGTTAATTGTTCTAAACTCTACTTCACTTTAAAAGTCCTTTCAAGTTTGGGGTGCCTGGGGGGGATCTCAGCTGGTTGAGCATCTGACTTCAGGTTTCAGCTCGGGTGGGATCGAGCCCCAGGTTGGGCTCAGCATAGAGTCTGTTTGTCCTGCTCCCTCCCCCTCTGCTCTCTCTCATAAATAAGTAGATGGATAGATAGATAAATAGATAAATAAAACCTTTAAAAGTCCTTTCAAGTTCAACAACAACCAATTAAATTAAACACACATTAGGTTGAGAATGGAAGTATTGATATGGGCACAATCTACTAATTTTTCAGTTGTTGATGGATATTATTTGATTGACAAACCTAGATGTCCGAAATGCACATGCATGCCCTCTCATGTGTCAAATGATTTTTTTTTTAAGATTTATTTATTTATTTGAGAGAGCGAGAATGAGAGAGAGTACATGAGAGGGGGGAGGGTCAGAGGGAGAAGCAGGCTCCCTGCTGAGCAGGGAGCCTGATGTGGGACTCGATCCCGGGACTCCGGGATCATGACCTGAGCCGAAGGCAGTCGCTTAACCAACTGAGCCA